ATATATATTTCAAAATAAAATTCCTAGCTTTCTCTTCACTCAGTATTCATCGTTCCTCCTTTTATTTTAACAAAAAAGATACTTTTCAAATTTATAGTTCTTGCAAAAATAATGAATTAATTAAAGTATGTTATTTTTATTTTTATTTTAAAATATCAATATTTTGTTTTATCAAATACTTTATTGGTGATCATTTCAACACTTCTATGACCGAGCACGTAACTGTGTAGTTAAATTGATTTCATCACTTAAAAAATTGACTTTCAAGTTTCAACACTTAAAACTTATCAATTGACCTTCAAGTTTCAACACTTAAAATTTATCAACTATTTATGATCAGTTAAACTAAACACCTTTATAATATAATTGAATAATAATAATTTTTTGTACTTTTAAAACTACATCTAGCCTTATACCGTGAAAATTCTATACAAATATATAATGACTCACCCACAAATCCATGATAGCCTATATAATGTGTTTAAGTATACTCGAGCATAGGGGTGTACAAAATAAAATCGAAAATCAAATCAAACCGCAAATCGAGAAAAAAAAACCCAACTAGTGGTTGGTTTGACTTGGTTTGGTATTGAAAAAAAAAAACTTGACTATATTTGGGTTGGGTTGGTTTTAGCTGAAAAAACCAACCCGAGACCAAACCAACCCGACATTATATATATAATTTTAAAATTTTATTTTATATATAAAAATATTTACTTTGATATAATTTTTAAATATTTCTTATACTTTTTCATAGTTTTTTTCTTTTAATATATTATTTCAAGTTTGAAACTTAGAATTCTGAATGGTTCAATAAAGATTATAGTCCACAGATGTTGATAATTATAATAAAGCTTAAATCAAAATCAAATTAATACTAATGCAAAAAGAAAATCAATTCAACACTAAGAATGACAATAATATTGAATATTTGTTCTTTGGTTTTACATTGGTTTAGACAATTCAATTAATGCATAATCTAATTTTAATTTCCTTTAATATTTAGTCATGTAACTAATACTTATTAAACTTATTTAGCATGATTTAGTACTTTTAAATTATGATCATTTTCATTATGACTTGTTAATTTGCAATATTTGTTTTACGCGATTTCATTATTATTGTTATTTTGTTGGATATTTTAGTGTCATTACTCATATCATATTTTGTGTTATTTTCTTAAGAAACATCTTAGATAGTTGTATTTTGGTAGGACTAAAGAAATATTTGAAGTACAAGTAAATTAATTATATGTTTGTATGAATACTTTACCGGAAAAACCCGAAAATTCAAAAAACCCGAGGTTGAAAAACCCGAGTTTTATTGGTTTGGTTTGATTTATAGATTTAAAAATCCGACATAAATGGTTTGGTTTGATAATTGAAAAACCTGAACCAACCCGGTCATGTACACCCCTACTCGAGCATATGTATAAGCCCCTAATATATAAATTAGTACATCATATTGTTAAGAAGTCCCACATCTGCAGAGGAATAAGAGATTAATTGGTCTCTTTTAGAGGTGTCAAATGGCGGGTTGGGCTGAAATGGAAATCGGGTTGGGTCTTGACCCGCCCAAGTTTACTTTGAATTCAAATGGGTTGGGCTCAAAAGGGCTAAATATGGGTTGGGTCTTGACCCGCCTAATTTGACCTGCTTAATCTCTATAATTTTAACATAGTGATATTTAACTTTTATAATCACAATTTGAATTTCAACTCAAGATTATTATTTTATTTTTTAAAAGTAACAAATAGATAGATAAATCCTAAAAGATATTAGATAGATAATAATTCATACATTTAATATAGGAGCATATATTAATAAAGAGTTTTAAAACGGATTGAAATTGGAGATTGAATTGGACTCAATTAAGGATTCTCTTAAAATGGGTTACGCCTGAATGGGTTGAGATTGAACCCAATTCAAATTATCTTGAGCCCAACCCTTAAAATTCTGGGCGAGTTGGACGGTTTACCTATGTTTGAGTTCATTTTTGACACTCCTACTCTCTTTATATGTATTTGGACAAACCTTCCTCCCCTCATGAGCTAGTTTTTGGGGTGTAAGTTAGACATAAAATATAATTTAACATGGTATTAGAGTCAAGTTTATCCCAATATTTGTTGTTCCACCGATGTTGTTCCCCATTATAGTGTTCACATGCTAAGCACTAGGCGTGATGTGAGGTGTTAAAGAATGATAAAAGTCTCACATTGATGGTTAATGAAATGACACGAAGACACGCCATATCATAAATCACATATGAAATACTTTAATATTTTTTCACAAAATAATATGTTAATACAAAATGCAAAAGGAAGACGGAAGTTAGTTAAGTTAAATAGGAACGCAATTACATATTTCCAAAAAATTTATCTAGTCGTTTAGTTGATTAATTACTTAGTTTCACTATTTGCATCGTTTGTCTCATTTTTATTGGACACTGATTGAGAGTTGATTGTAAACTAGGTAATAAATTCACGCTTCCTGGGCATTAATCATCTTTCTAAGCTTTTGAACAACCTTTTCAATAATCGATTGTTATAAGAAAAAAATAAGCAAATTTTAGTAGGTTTTAAGATCATTTCAACAGAAATTAAATGATTTGACATTATCACATATCTCAAGAATTATAAATATATAATGAATAATTAAAAATATCTTGATATCTAATCATTTTTATTTTTTACATAATTTATCATAATATATGTTTGATGATATAATTGTCTTGATAAACTGAGTGATGTTTCTATGTAGCGATTAAACATCAATTTTTCTATTTTTTTACATGAAAAATATAGAATATGATAATTTTTATGGTTAGAAAAATTATGTGAAAATTTCGGTAATCAATATTAGTTATAAATAAGTTAAGACCGTTAAATGTACACCACAACAACATAATTAAAAAAAATTTAGAGACAATCTGTCTGAGGTCAAATGTTCACCACTTTTCGTTATTGTTACTTTGTTACTCTAACAAAATTTAATTTGAAACGACAACAAAATAATATTGTTGACCCTTTTAGAAATTCATTTTTCATTAAATTGCTACTCTGAAGGCCCTTCTTGATGCTTCATCAATGCAACTTTGCAACTTTTTCAGAAATATGTATGTATATTTTTTGCATTATGAAAGTAAAAGTAGATCAAAATGTTGGTTTCTAGACTCATGTTAAAGAAATATTCTCGAACATTAAAAAATTAAAAATGAGTCTCACCTAAATAACTCAAATGCTCAGCAATGACTTGGGACATGGACAACAAATCTATCTTAATAGACATTTCTTTTTGTAGCTTAAGATATTACTTTTATTTAAAGCAGGTTTTGTTTCATATTCTTCAAATTAAGCTTGCCGAAAATAGTCATAACTCACACCAAAAATATTAGAAGAGCCGAATGAGAAGGAAAAAAAGAAAAACATTAAAAGGACGAAAGCTTTGTCCAAGTGAGATCATATACATACCAAATAAAAAATAATCAATACAATTTTAAGAAGACAACAAAACGGCGAGAAAAAACATACATTAAAGGGAGTAAACTATGAGCTATCCAATGATGATAACAAAACATTCTAACCAAAAAAGTTCCTATGTTTTGAAATAACATACCTCAAAAAATTGAATAACACTTCAATTAACTTTCAATCCTTAAAGTAGTCATAATTTCCACTAATAAAATTTAGTAAAAATAGAACACAAAATCTCATCCTTGTAAGGAATGACGTTGTTGATGAAGAAATTAGAGATTTGTAAGGCCTTTTTTTTATTGTACCTTCAACAATTCTAATAGAGAAAACTTATTTGAATACTCAATTAACATTTGTTATTTAATCAGTACTAACAAATACTTATAAAAATAATTTTGCAGAAACATAAACAACAAAGTTTAAAGCACGTACTCAAAAATAACAATTAATAATATAAGCATAAATTAATGACGGTAAGATGCATACTAGGATCTGTAACAATAGAATGAAACAGAATGGAAAAAATTGAGTCCACTGAATGCACAGTGTCCTCTTAAGAAAATTATTCCCATCTAGTACCTGATGTTTAAAGGAATAGGTCCTCTCAGGATAGAACGATTTTATTCACCAGTGTATTGATACAAAAACAATGGTGTCAGTGAGTCATTCAACATAAGCAAAGTACACAAATATTTAATTGTCCATAAGAAGAAGAATAAGTTCAATTTTTTTGTTGTTTTAAAATGAGAGAAAATTCCTCTATTTATAGACAACAAAAGGTAGTGTGAACAAATGTTTATTGTGTCTTATTCGATAGGTTACAACCCTTCGTAAAGGTCACAACCCTTCAGAAAGGTCACAACCCTTAGGAAAGATCACAACCTTTCATAAAAGTCACAACTTTTCATAAAAGTCACAACTTTTCATAAAAGTCACAATTCTTCATAAAAGTCGCAATTTTTCATAAAAGTCACAATTTTTCATAAACGAGGAAGGCTAGTTTTGGAAATAAAATAAATTAAAAGAGAATTTTGGTTTGTAATGGCGCTACATACGCGAGTCTAGAATTTTCTTTTATATATATATATATTGACTTCTTGTGGGATAAGAGAGATAAATTACTATGAGCGGTAATTAAGGTTATGCCCTCTATATATACTTTGAACTTACCTCTAAATATAGAAAGATGTGATTCTTTTTATACTCCCTCTGTCTCAATTTATGTGACATATTTTGAATTTCAAGATTCAAACAAGTCTATCTTTGATCGTAAATTTTTCCTATATCTTTTAAAATATATTGAATTATCAATTATTGTGACTTATAGTACTTTTTATGTAGTTTATAAATATATAAATTTCATTTTAAAAAATTTGAAGATTTCATGAGCAAATTCTCAGTCAAACTTAAACTGTTTGACTCTCGAAAAGCGAAATGTGTCACACAAATTGGGACAGAGGGAGTAATAACTTAAAGAAGAAGAAGATCATGTAAATTGAATAGAGGGGTTTAATGTGATAATTACCAATTAAAATTTAAAAATACAAATGTAATGAGCATTCTGCTTTTACAAAATTACAAATAGAAATGTATGAATTGAACTTTCAACATTTAAAAGAAAGCACACAATAGCTAACAGCTTCCTTGGTCATTTTTGTCCTTGTTATCAGCATACTTTTGAAGATTTTCTCCATGCAATTTTCCATACCTAAACTCATCAAAAACTTCAACTCCCATATTTATGTAAAAATCATATGACTTCTTATTCCAAACTGCGATTATTCCATCCACCGATACGAACCCATTGTTGGCAGCAATGGACGAAACTGTTCCAAACAACAATTTCCCCATTCCCAACTTTCTATAACTCTCTCTGAAGTAAAGACTCTCAAAATAAAATCCAGGCTTGTCATTGAAACATGAATAATTAGCGTAAAAGAAAGCATATCCTGCAATGTAAGCATCACTCTTATCATCATATTTTGATCGGAACTCCTCAACTTGTCCTTCAACGACAGGGAATTTAAGGTCGAACGTTGTAAGGACAGGCTTGAACCCTTCATTTGTGGGTTCGTTAAAAGGTGTTGGAGAGACTTCAAGTAGAAGTACGGATGGCCCGTAGAAAAGTGGAAGAGGATTTTCTTTAA